ACCTCATGGGATCAACCTTGGACTGATACCAATCTTGATTCTCTCTTCTCCCCCTTATGAAGTTAGATGAGGAGGTCTGATGCTGATGCCCTGTCTCTTGCTACTCTCCTAGTTCTGCTGCTTCTGCTGCCACTGCTTTTCTGCTGCTGGTTCTTGCCATTTCTCTGGTGTTACAGCACTCTCTGTCTCTTGGGTCAAGATGGTTCCCAGTGCAGGGAGTCTGGGTCTAAAGGAAGTGCTCCATTCTTGTCTCTTTCTCTTGGTGGTAGTCAGGTCTCCCCTTTCCACCTCTGCGATGACTTATTTTAAGCCTAGCAGGACAGCAAAACTGACCAATCACCATGTTAGGGTTCCATACACCTTATTTGCATAGTCCCACCCCCACAACTCTGCCTTGTCTCTTATGTACGTTATTAGCAAGCTATCCAATCCTTTGGTGGGCCACAAGCACCTCATATTTGCACAGTCTTACCCAGTATTTGGTGGGAATTATAAAGACTACAGCTAGAAGACCATTGTAAGTAAATCACACATCCTTATACATAAGAGTACAAAGTTATTGGTATCAAGTTGTTCACAGTAAACGTATTTCTAAAATTGTTCATCTGGCTTTTCCACTCAGTTTGTTTGGTACTTAAAATTGGGAATAGCATGTTCCACATCTTTTGGGACCCCTATAATGCCATATTCAGATCTTTGCAGGGGAAAGGACATTCTTTTAACATTTCTAGATCTCTAGTACCTGTCACAAAGGAGCTCTGGTGGTGTAGTGGTTAAGGCTGCTAATCAAAAGGTTGGTCGTTTGAGCCCACCAACTGCTCCACATAAGAAAGATGAAGCAATCTGCTTCCATAAAGATTTATATCTTTGGAAACCCAATGGGGGTCACTATGAGTCAGACTCGATGGCAGTGGGTACCTATCACAAAGGAATTCTGGTGGTATAGTGGTTAAGGCATTTAGCTGCTAATCAAAAGGTTGGTGGTTCAAACCCATCAGCTGCTACATGGAAGAATGATGAGGGAGTCTACTTTTGTAAAAATTTATAGACTTGGAAACTCTATGGGGGTCGATATGAGTTGGAATAGACTCAATAGTAGTGAGTTTGGTTTTGAGTACCTATCACAAGCGCTCACAAACAAGAGGCCCTCAGAGAGTAAAGTTTACTAAACTATTAAATTAAATGAAAATTTTTGATTTGTGCATGATTAATTGGCGTGTTGGCATAATGTCTAAGACATCTGAGTGCTACCCAGAAGGCTGGTGGTTCAAACCCACCAGCCACTCATTGGAAGGAAGGTTGGGCAATCTACTTCCGTAGAGATACTGCCTCAGAAACCCAAGGAGGGGTTGTTGTGAGTTGGAATTGACTCGATGGCAATGAGTTTTTTTTTTTTTTATTTGATAGATAGGTTTATCTATTCAATAAATATTTATTTAATGTCTATGCTAACCAGAAGGCTGGAGGTTCAAACCCACCAGCCACACCTCGGAAGGAAGATGGGGCAATCTACTTTCATAGTGATACTGCCTCGGAAACCCAAGTAGGGGTCGCTATGAATCGGGTCCAACTCGATGGCACATAACAACAACAACAACATGATACCCAAGTCCTATGCTTAGCACTGGGGAGAAAATGTTGCAAAAGATACACAAGAAAGCTCCAATTCCAGTGGGGGAGATCTACATGCATGTAGATGCATACAATTACAATATAATATGTAGTAATGGAGTGAAGCTAGGTATAGGCTAGGTGAAGTCCTAGGGATTGATTCTTCCTGTGAATATTGAGGAAGCTTTCATAAAGCAGAATTTCAAAGGTTAGACAAAGGTTTACCAAGTTAAGAGTAGAGAGGCATAAAAAGACCACTGACTATTCAGGAAAAGTCAAAGAAGTCATTAGAGGTGAAATAGGATAACTGCAGGAAATGAGATTAGAGAAATAGACAGAATCATATCATGCTGGGTGTTTTATGCTAATAGCAGGGCTTTAGGATAAATGGGAGCTGATATGAACAGATTTGCATTTTTTAAAAGAGAAGTATGGTGTTGATGTGAAGAATAATTCTGTATAGGATGCCAGTGGAGTCAGAAAGCCTATGTTTGAGAAAAATGTGAAGGATTTATGATGACAATGGGGATGGAGTGCGGGTAGAGTTATTTGACTGATGTTTAGGAGGTAGAAGTTCACATGACACAGTGACTAAGTGACAGGGGAAGAAGAATGAGAGGAAGATGCCTAAGAAGACTACTAATTTCGGGTATGGATCTCTGAGCAAATGATAATGCCTTTCCTCACCCAATTTAAAGAGAACAGGAGAAAGTATATATTTGAGACAAAGAAAATGATGCCAGTTTCAATACGTGGTGGTAGAAATGTCTGAAAGACATCCAAAGGCACAAATATGTGTGAGAGGGAAAAAGAAAATAAGGACCTGAAGCTCAGAGGAGAGATCTCAGTTGGAGATTTAGATATCAAGGCTAAATACATGCAATTCTGTTTTGAATGGTGAAATGTCACAAAAACTATTTAGAACTACCGAAGACCCACCAGCTACTGCTCCTTCCCTCCTGTAGATCATCTAACACTCAACAATCAATATATACCTGGATATACTATGTGGGTTCGCAATTTGTCAATCATTCTAGCACATCTAGGTTTGCCTATAGAATCAGAAATGATATTTAAAGTGAAGGCATATCTGGTCCTGTCTGCTTCCCTTGTTCACATGTGTTATTTGGCACATAGGTAAGAGTGTCACAGCAAAACTGAACACTAGAGTAGCATTATTTAATTGGAAACTAGACCACCAATACCTCATTGAAAAGATAGTTGCTCAAGGAGTTCTCTTGATGAAAAGCAACAATTAAACCAATTGCTCTCTGTCAGCACTCTGTGCACCTAATGTAATACACTCCTAACTTTAGTGATTTCCAACTACTTTGAGAAAGTAATACATGACCAGTGTAATACCTAACCATAATGAAAACTTAACTCTGGTAACAGGAGCTCAATGCCCTAAAAACTGTCAGTTTAGAAATTCTAATGGAAAGAAAGAACACTTATCAATTTTAGAGCTAGATAATCAATTTTAGATCATTAGATAACTCTTAACTAAACAAAATGGATGATATTTTAAACTAAGGACCTCATAATTTCCCTATTTTAATAGGAAGGTAATATAATTCTCTAGTATGCAGGACCTTTTAAAAGAACAAAACATTTCCAGAAATGCTAGAGAATTTTTTTAAAGCTTTCTTCTTTGAATATGCTTTATAGTTTCTTGAGGCTAAATTATAAACATAAGTTGAGAAATAAAACAACTGAACAACTGATGCACTGAGGATCTGATGGATTACAAACCAGGGCAGTGAGTGGCTCTGCTGGGTGTGGATCTTGTCAGTTCAGTAAGCCCAATAAACCATGTGCTGGGCACAGGTACTATGTGAGGTGCTAGAATTACAGAGCAAGAAGATGCAGCCCCTATACTCAAGGTGGCAAAGTGCTGTGCTCTGGTTTTCAAACTACAATCCATGGCCTCTCAATGGTTTCACAGGGCATGAACAGGGGCAGGGGCAAAGTAAGATTCCTGTTATCTCCTTTCTCACTTCAACGGTAAAGGAGTTTTCTTTTACCTGTTTCATATACCAGACTTTCTCATAAAATTTAGCTTGAAGAAAGGATCCTTTCATACACACACATAAGCACACAATAAACAGAAGTTTATAAACTATTGGTCTAGTAGATAAACAAGAGCAGCAGAACCTACATCCACACAGCCCTGGTCTGCAGTCTTGTCCGCGTGCAGCAGCTGCAGCTGTTGTCATACCACTACTACCCTGTCTTCCACAGCTTTTCCAAGGGCCCACACTGACAGCCACTGATGTCTAGGTAAACCCTGATCAATAGATGATATCATTTTATTTCCACCCCAATGTGAACCATGGTCCTTTAACTGTTTTTTGTCAAGATCAGAAGCATTGTGGGGCTTGCAAATGAATTGTTTTCCATTTGTATTCTGTTATAACTTCCATTCTTAATTTTCCCATATGTAACATTCAATTGTAAAAAGTGAGACAGCTTTTTTTAAAATTTTAAGTAAAGGGAAAAAAAAAAAAAACATGAAGTAAATAAATAAAAGCACCACTTTTAACACAGGAAGATCCAAAGCAATAGAAAAAGAACCCAAGATTCATTCCTTCCCTGCCCCACCTAAAAGGCAACCACAGACATGTTTGAGCTCCCTAAAATTGCACGTTGACTCTGAAGGTGATCGTGATCACCCCCATCAGAGCTTGCTGGCTTCTAGAGTAGGGGAAGCTGGAGAGCCTCCTGCATTCTTGGATTCTCAAGAGGGAGCGCACTACTCTAGTGGCTCCTGTTTAAGGCCTCTTCACTCTGCCAATGTTTACTGCATGGGGGCTCCTTCTGCTGCCTCTCCTCTAATCTAAGAAGAATGATGAAGTCAGGCTAGCCTTCCTTTTCTTCTCAGAAGATGCCCTGTCCTTCATAGGAATGGAATAACATTGAGGGCTAGGTGCCCACAGACAGGTGAAGGTGTCTTCAGCCAATTTCCCTGTGAATCCTCTCTTCCATATTCAGCAAGCCAGGCCCAGGTCAGCCTGTGCTCTGGGGCTGGCCCTCTCTACTATATTTGCTTTGCTCTATGTTTCTCATATGCTTTTTCTTCTGGCATTAAAATGCCAGATGCATCCCTTTCTCTCCCTGAGGTGGCACTAGCTAAGACTTGAATTTGAGCTTCCACATGGAAACAGAAAAAGGGAAAAAAAAAAAAAAAAAGAGGCCTCCATATGGTATGGCTTTGATGACTTCAGGTTATACTGGGAGTGTGGTACCAAATCCTAGTTAATAAGAGGCTACTTTGTCTTCTTTTGACTCCTCCATGCATCTATCTCCTCTAAAGACCAGAGATGCTCATGTCCTAGGCCATACCATCCTTACACAGTCTCAACTTAACCAGAACTTCAAGTAAGTCTTACCTTATCTGCTTGCCTTCTCTCATGTCATACAAGGAAAAGAAGACATCAGTATCTTCCCCGATGGTATTGTAGGTGAAACTTTTCAGACTGAGGAAGAAGTGATGTGGTACTGGCATCCGGCAGGTTTCCCCATGACGTGGGCGCATTGTATCTACCTAATGAGGAAGGCAAAAACAGTATTTCCATTTTAGTTATTCACTATATTAATCATAAATAAGATAAAAACTAAGTGACTACCTCTTCTCACATTGCTGAAGGGGATTACTTTAGAGAGAGACTGAAAGTGTTTCCTCTGCTACTAAGGGGTGCTGTATTGATAGGCTTTGGTTGAGGCAGGCAAGCATGCATGCAGCTGGGAGCAGTAAACAGAGTGAAGGGGTTATGGGAATAGTAATTCCAATTACAAGTGAACTCAAAATCTCCAGGGAACTATTTTCAAAGTCATTTATTGGAGATGCTGTCATGACCCTCATGCAATTGATTTATACTGCTAAGATGGCAACAGTTACCATTTTAAATAACATTCTCCATTTCTCCCAGATGGATTTATTTTAGTCTCAGTCCACTTTCTTTCAACTGTGCTTATGTAAATTTGCATAGAGGAGTAGAGACTGGCCAAATTTGCTTAGAGGCCAGGGCTCCTTAGATGAAAGGCACCACATGATGAAGAAGTCAGTAGTGCCTATCATTTCCTGGTGCATTGCTAAATTGTGACCTCTTAAAAGAAAGAGTTGAAGGAAAAGGCTGGGAGTCCTGGTCAAACTGCTTACCTGGGATGTACTTTGCTGTACACTCTGCCGGCTAGATAAATGCTATGGAAAGAAAACAAAAAATAATTATGCATGTGTGTGTGTATTCACTCCGGTGGGGAGAAAATTAACATTTACTAAAACATCTTCTATACTGCTGGGCAGTGTGCTAATAAGTCTTTTATATCTATTATTTAGTTCCTACAACTTTGTTACAAATGTATTATTCATATTTTATGGAGGCAACTAAGATTTACAGAAATGAAGTGATTTGCTGAAAGTCACATAGATAAAACGTGGCAAAGTCTGGATTCAATCCTAGCTCATCAGCCCCGAGTATCAGCCTAGTCACAGGTGGGTGCTTGCTACAGGATTTTTGCTTTGGCAATTCTCCTGATCCAGCCTCTCCAGACTCTAAAAACCGGAGAAAATGTAACCTTTAAAGAAAAGGGGCTGCCTCGCAAATCTCTCTCCATGCTGTTCCTCTGCTGTTGGCTAAAAGTTGGAAGCAGATTCCAATCTCAGCTATGCCACTCATAAACTGTGAAACTTTAGACAAATTGCTTAATCTCTCCAAGAAAGAGTTTTCCTCAGCTATAAATTGAGATAAAAGCTTGTCTTGTATTTCTCATAGGGTTACTGTGAGTTTCAAATTAAAATTGGGAAGCAGCTTGATATAATTGTTACAGATGTATGCACTGCAGTCAGGACACTTGGTTTTGAATCTTGACTCATACCACCTATGTGCCTCAGTTTCTTCATTTGCAAAATGGAGGTAAAATTCTATACCTATCTCAACCTTATAGGTTTTTATTGTAGGGGCTGATCATTGTTATCTATAATTGGTCTTCTTATTATTCTTATAAGGAGCTCTGGCACCACAGTGCCTAAGGTATTTGACTGCTAACCAGAAGGTTGGTGGTTCAAACCCACCAGCCACTCCATGGAAGCAAGACTGGGCAATCTACTTCCATAAAGATTTACTGCCTCAGAAACCTAATGGGGGTTGCTATGAGTCAGAATCGACTTGATGGCAGTGATTTTATTTATTTATTTATTATTCTTATAGGTATTCTCTTTTATAATTAGTTATTACAGAAAAGTCAGTTACATTTAGAAGCAAACCTTGGCCAGGAAGAATAGCGGGTTCATAAACAGTTCCTGGTCTTGGTAAACTCAAGGATGAGAGTTTATATTTTGCTTCCTTTTGGGCTTATTTAGAGAACTGATACATGTTACAGAAGTAGGAACAATGGCTGCTACAAGGAGAATGGTTTCATCTTTCTTCCAAACACATGGCTTTAACCCTAAATACGACTGAAGTAAAATTAAACATTAATTTAAACGTGTGTCACTAGTTATATTTGCTAATTATTCAATATTTGTGTGCATTACTCGCTATATTAGCTAATTATCTTAAGAATTAATATGTATTCATGGGACTTTATGTCCCCATGATACATATTAAATATAATAAAATCAGTTCTCCACCAGCTGGGGAAATTATCACAGAAAATATATATGCAGAAAAGAAAACTTCATATATAAAATAGGTTAAAACAAAACTTCTAAAAATCATACCTTCCAAGAAAAAAAATAATCAGCTTTTCATGGTTAATTGATTCATATGCCAGTGGGAAGGTTACTGACCTAAAATATTTTATGTTCAGGAACTGTACCGAGTCATTCTTCTAATTAGACTTACTAACTTTTAAAAGCAACTACCAATTTTAAACATAAATGTTCAATTAGAAGTATGTACAGAAGTTTATAAACCACAGCAAATTTCAGGGGCAAAACAACTTCAAAGGTATAAAATTTGGAGAGAACTTTTGAACCTAGTCTGAAAGCATACCACAGTAGAGCCAGAAAGAGAGCAGAACTGACAACTGGATCTTTTTCACAGCACTGTAAGGAAAACCCATTACCCTGTGGTCAGCCAGCATTCCACTGGCAGCTCATACCTCCTTCTTCAGAGCCACCATCATCTGTATTAGGACCATAATGTATTATTTTTTTGTGTCTGCTACCTAACTCTAGACTGTGTACTCCTAGGGAGCAAATTACCTGTCTTATTCATCTTCATATCTCTGAAACTTAGCAAAAATCTACATTAATTAAGAAATGCATGACCTACATTACTGCCTCTGCTCCCCCTCCGTCCCCCCCCCCCGCAGCCCCCCCAGCCCCGGCCCCCCCGCCCCCCCCCCCCCCCAAGTAGAGGTGTCATTTTCAGCCCTCTGAAATCTCTGGTTCACTTAATTTATCAGAGTCTAACAATAGGGGGCAAAAAACTATGCAGCTTTGGAAATGTTATTCAACTGAATAACAAAATTAAACCAGTTGTATTGAGCGGATTTCGAGTCATAGTGACCCTATAGGACAGAACAGAACTGCCCTAGATGATTTCCAAGGCTATAATCGTTAAAGGGGGAGCTCTGGTGGTGTAGTGCCTAAGGCATTTGACTGCTAACCAGAAGGCTGGCAGTTCAAACCCACCAGCCACTCCCCAGAAGGAAGGCTGGGCAATCTACTTCCGTAGTGATACTGCCTTGGAAACCCAAGGAAGGGTCGCTATGAGGATGTAGTGGGTAGGGCATTTAGATAATAACTAGAAGGTCGGCAGCTCAAATCCACCAGCTGCTCTGTGGTAGGAAGATGGGGCAATGTACTTTCATAAAGATTTACAGCCTTGGAAACCCAGTGGGGGTTGCTATGGACTGGAATTGACTTGATGGCAGTGGATTTGGTTTTGGTTTTAGAATCTTTACGGAAGCAGCACCATCGGGTCTTCTCTAACAAAATCAACTGCCTACCCCATGTATGTCAGGAATTGTTATTAGGTATTGTGGGCCTTACAAAGGAAGTGTAAGACATATCTAACCAGGATCACCAAAGAAATAATGTCTAGTAAATGTGCTGATCAACTGATTTATTCCAGAAGTGGAATTATAAACATTGATCTATTAGAAATACTAATTAGCACTGGAAGAGAATTAGAAGATTTTTGTCCTCTGATCACATTCTATTACTTATCATTTAGATCTCACCAACACCCAAAGATATTTGAGATGACTTTTGATATAAACCTTGATCTTTTCAGAACAATCTTTCTCAGCAGCATGAGAACAGCTACTTACCACACCTTAATGTGGAAGGATAACAATGAAGCAGAAGACTCTAATGTAAGAATTTGATTCGATACTGCCACAATTCAGAAGTTTTCACATTATGTAATTTCGGAGCGCCCACAAAAAGACAGAAAACTTAGAAAATGAAATAAAAGGAACTTGACTTTTAGGCATTTTTCATAAAAATTTTAATGTAATAAAAATAATACAAGCACAAAGTTGTAGAAGTTTGTTGTTACTGTTAGTTGCCATACAGGTGGCTCCAATTCACGGCAACCTTCCGTACAACAGAAACAGTGCCTGGTTCTGTGCCATCCTCACGATCACTGGTATGCTCACGTCCATGATGCAGACACTGTGTATTTTGAGTGCCTTCCAAATGAGGGGCTTATTTCCAGCACTATATCAGACAATTGTTTTGTGATCCATTGGGTTTTCTTCCTAGTCTGTCTTAGTCTGAAAGTCCAGCTGAAACCTGTTCACTATGGGTAGCCGTGATGGTGTTTGGAATACTGGTAGCATGGCTCCAGCTTCATAGGAACACCCAAGCCCCCATAGTACAATTTGACAGACAGGAAATGATAAGAAAAATAAAAAAGCGCTAAATAGCACTAAAAAGTTTGCAATAAAATTATCAATCCTCTGCTCACCTTGTTCTTTTTCCTAGAGATAATTACTTTGAATTCTTTATGATGTTTATATTTCTCTCCCTTTACCCAATTGTAGTTATTTATCAGTTTCTTATTAGAGCAGATATGATTTTAACTTTTGTTTACATCTCCTTTTCATCTATCCATCTCACTAATATGTCACATTTTTTTTGGTTAAAACTATTGTTTATACTACTGTAACTTTTAAATATTGTTTGCTGCTGAGCCAACCAGTGTACTATAATCATTTTCCTTTCTTCTGCTACTTTCTGCTTTTTTTCTGGAGACACTTTTCCTTAAATGACAGGATCTTTTTCTATGCCCTCTAACAACTTTATAAAATAATTTTTAATAGTATTTTCCACATGGTAAAAACTTTCCAATAGTCTATGAAGTCTCTGTCTCCTGGAGATAGCCCTCCTGGTGCCCTCTGTCCTTCTTCAATCTAGACTGCTTGCTTTCTAGGCCTATTGCACAACTATCGTTCTGGGACTTGCCCCTGCTGTTGCCCTGAGAATTCTTGGCATCTATCACATATGCCAGAATCCCTTTCCTGGATAGCATGTAGAAGTATTTTAAAGGAACAATTTATCCTTCATAGTTCCCTGAAAATGATTTCATGAGAGAGATTTTAGTTTTTAGACTTTGAGTAACTAATTTTTCTTTAGGCTACTCTCCCACTTTATTAATGAGGTGGCTGAATATATGTAGAATTCTAGGTTGAGAATTTATTTTCCCTCAGAATTTGGAAGGCAATGTTCCATTGTTTTCTAGTTTTCAATGTTGCTATTAGGAAATAAACTGCTAGTATTAAACCAAATCCTTTTTATGTGACTCTTTTCCTTTCTGAAAGCTTTTAGCCTCATCTATTTCTGGTAAACTGAAATTTCACATTTAATTGCCAAATACTTGATAGGTCTTTTCAATCTGGGGACTCATGTCCATGTTCTGGGAAGGATCATAAAATGATTTCTTTAATAACTGTCTTCCTTTGTTTCTCAGTTTGCTCTTCTGAGAGAAACTGAAATTCCATTACCTAGATACTAGATCTCCTGGATTGAACCTCCAATTTTTGTAACTTTTCTCTCCTATTGTTTATTTTGTTGATGTCATTCTGTTTTCAGGGATATTTTCTCTCTTCCATCTTCTAATCTTTATACTAAATTTATTCTAATTATCTCATTTTAAATTTTCTTCCTTTCTCTTCTTGGATTGCTCCAGTTTGTTTCCTACTTGCACCCTCATTTTTCTTTCTACAGATAGCAATCACTGTTTGCTTCTGCTGAGTTTTTGGTTCCTTTCAAGTTCTATTCATAGGTTGGTTGTGTTGGTTTCTAATTTTCATGTGAGCACTTCCTTCCAATATCTACTGAAGGCTGTCTGCTCCTATTTAAGAGTGAGGTATTAGAACGCTTTCTGGAAGTGTTCCGTGGGATGGCAAGGCCTGCTGACTCACGGACTGCAATGTACAGAAGTTTGAGGGGCAAGGAAAGTCATCTCATACAGTCCCATGGCTTTACGTTTACGTACTCTAATAACCTTAAAATTGTTGTCATTGAACCTTACTTCTGAACTCCAGACTTTTCAACATAATTAAAAGGAAAAAAAAAATGGGACTGGTCTGCTAGAGCCTGGTGGAACCACTGAGACTATGGCCCCTAGTTGTCCTTCAGGTCTGGAATTAAATCTATGGCTTCCAGCCAAACAAAAGACAGGCATATGAGGTGAACATTTACCTGAGGTAGACACACTCCTTGGAGAGAACAATCATGGGAGAAAGAAGGGCTGTTTATGCACAGAGAGACAGCTCTCAGGGGGCAGGAGTGCATGGAGGGATGGACACAGGGAAGAGATAACTATCAGGAGGAAGTGGGTGGGGAGCTGTTGCATTGGGGTAAATAGTAGTCAATGTCATGAGACAAGTGTATGTGAATTGCTGTATGAGAAATGAATTTGCTCTGTAAACTCGCACCCAAATCACAATTTTAAAAAAAAGAGAGATCCTTTTAAAATGTAAGATAGATCATGTCACTTTTTTGTTCAAATTACTTCAAAGGCTTTGTCACACTCTCAATAAAATCTAAAACTTTAAAAAAAAAAAGCCATCTTCTAAGCCATCATTCTGGGTGGTTCTTAGCCTCAAATATTCCTCTTCCCTCACTTCCTATAACTAATTGATCATCACATTTCATCAATCTTACTTTAAAACATGTGTATTTCTTTATTTCATTTCTTGTCCATTCACAATGATGCTTAGGACAACAGCATTATTTCTTACTTGAATCACTACTATAATCTCCTTCCTCCCTGATTTCAAATTTTTCTGCATTTTACTTTCTCTATTCATAAAATCAGTCTATCTATAGTTTAAACCCATGACTAATCATGTTATTCCAAAGGTTTTATCAGACTACTGGATACACTCCAATTTTTGGTATACAAAGTTTTTCATAATCTGGCTTTTGTCTCATTCTGGCCTCATCTACCACTTACTAACACATACCTATGTGCCCAAATCACCAGATGTCTTATAGTTTCCTCGAAATATTATACTACCGCTTACTTATGCTGTGTGTAATTTTGAAATATCTTTCCTTTTCATTTGTCTACCTGGTGAGCCCCTGCTCACCCTTCAAGACTTATGGTAAGTATTACTCCCTCTGGAAGCTTTCAGTGATCTTCCTACTTTACTCCTTTTCACATATCAGTGTAAACCTTGATTATGGTATGTAGCACATATGTGGTAATTATTTGCATGGTCTATTATGCCATTTAAATAGAGATCAAAAACATGGGGTTCATGCATGTGCTGCAGGAGCAATTAGGGGGAGAAAGAGCACATTAATTCCCTAAAACTGATTGCAAAACTTGATATGCAAAATCATAGTTGGTTTGTCCTTGCAGAGGGGTGATGCGGAGTTTTATCTGAGCCTTCATCAGAAAGGGTTGGGAACAGTGAGATCTTTGAGGCTAGAGATGAATCTTGTACATATGTAATCTCTATATGTCAAGTCTGTCATACTGTATTGTTAAAGCAACTGTACACAAATGCCTGTTTATATTAGTAAATATACATAAGCAAATATACAGAAGCAAATAATAAGCTATTCGTATAGTATTTAGGCAGTTTTCTAAGGCCCTCAACTATGCAATATCCCTGGTATCTGCTATGTTTCCTAAAAATACTACATTTTCTCAAAGAGATTCTAAAAATGAATTCTTAGCAATATATACTACTCAAATATATACTCTTTCAAATGAGGTTTTACCCATTCCTTTGGTCGAAGCTTAATAGTAACCTTAAGACGTTTATTTGTTTTACTTTAAACATGTTCTATCTTCCTCTCAATTACTTCTCATCTAGTCTATAAAATGGAATCTTGGTCAATGATCAACACAATACACTTTTATGATAACCAACAGACAGCTAAAACAGAGGCTCTGTCTTTCTAGAAAGACTGGTAAATGAATTCTAGATTCAATCACTACATTAATCAATAACTAGCTCTTTCTAGTTTTGACTTCCTTCTCTTCCTAAGAGGTGGAGGGAAAGAAACACAGCTTCAGTAACTGCTGTAGGCTGAAGGACCTCTGCTTATCAGCAGAATCAATAGAGAAGTGACCTCTAGACATTTTAGTCAGCCCAGCAGTCCTACATAACAATTCCATTCGAAAAGTAAGCATGACATGTGCTGTCAGAATAAGGAAGCTCTAGTAGTGTAGTGCCTAAGGCACTTGACTGCTAACCAGAAGGCTGGCAGTTCAAACCCACTAGCCACTCCTCGGAAGGAAGGTTGGGCAATCTACTTCCATAGTGATACCACCTCGGAAACCCAAGGAGGGGTCGCTATGAGTCAGGTCTGACTTGATGGCACATAACAACAACCACAACAACAACAACCTTAAATATACTGGGACAAAGGCAAAGAATGACTTTTGTAACATTGTTTCATACATAATTAAAGAAAAGAAGCAAAAGAAAAAATGAGCTTTCAAGGAACAAGCCACCTCATAATAGGTTTCTTACCATTTTATAGAGATCTGAGACACTAATTTGATCCGAATCCACTACTTCAAAGTCCTTTCGAGGCACCAGGTCCAGGCCCAAATGTCTAGTAATGAAAAAGACAACAGTCAGCATGAAATGGCCTCAGATTACTCATTTCTCTCTATATATACAAGCTGGGAGCCCATTACCTGCCAAGATCTTATGAATAGAGGTCCAGATGCTGCCTTAGGAAGAAAATGCCTTTATCTGGAAAACACCTAATTGTGTTTACCTTTGGGTAAATATATGAGGCTACGAATTTTAAGACTGATATAATTTCAATCATCAAGCAGTTTCACTTTTGATGGCAAAAGGGATCCATCTAATACCATGTTTCAAATAGATTGCTTGGTTCACTAAAGATAACTTTTGTATGGATCATTAATAAGAAGTTATGCTTATTTTTTTGTTTCTCTCTATCATATGCTCAAAGATATAATTACTTTAACTGGGATAAAAAATTATTCAGGGCCCAAGTTGATCTGTAAGTTAAAGTGAAACAAATAATAATCACCTCTTGAAAATACTAAACCCAAAGAGATACATGTTTTACATCATTTTCAATTTAACTAATACAGACATTGGGTCATAGGAGATCTGGAGGCATAGTGCCTAAAGCATTTTACTACTAACCAGAAGGCTGGCGGTTAAAGCCCACCAGCTACTCCTCAGAAGGAAGCCTGGGCAATGTACTTCCGTAGAGATACTGCCTCAGAAACACAAAAAGGGGGTGCTATGAGTCAGATTTGGTTTGTGGGTTGGACTTTGGGTTATCATAAAGATCTGGCCACATATTACCAACATCCTAAGAAACTTTGGATGTAGTACTACTACTCAAGAAAACAGCATTTAAATAATCTGGAATAATCTGGGCAGGAAGGAAGAAGTGGTAGCAATTAAGAATTGATTGGGAGTCAGTATGAAGCAACAAAAATAATTCTGGACTCAGAACACCTGGATTCAAAAATGGTACATAATCTATACTAAATAAAGGTTAGCTCCTCTCTCACTCTCTGGAACAGCTTTAAACCTGGAGTCCACTTGAGTGAAGGGGTTTTCAGGCCCCTGAAACAGCTTGCAACACTGTATTAGTTATACGTACATGTGTTCATGTATGATTTTTTTCCGAAGGAGAATGTACATCACTCATCAGGGTTTCTGAGATGGTCTGTGACCATCCTATCCCAAAACAAGGGTTATCAACTACTGCATTTAATAGAAGTTCTCCATAGACTACAGAAGGAGAAGTATATACTCTTTTGAACTAGACTGTGAACTATTTTTATACTACACTAGTGTGTAGTCAGCCCCAGGGTTACAGGTGAGGAGAGACAACTCAGGGAGTCCCAAAACAGCAGGCCGGAAGAGCAGGAGAAAGGGGATTAAAAGCCAGGAACCCGGACAGGAGAGCAGTCAGCCCCAGGGATACAGGTGAGGAGAGACAACTCAGGGACGCCCAAAGCAGCAGCTCGGAAGAGCAGGAGAAAGGGGATTAAAAGCCAGGAAGCCAGAGAGAAGAGCAATCAGCTGAAGGGATTAGGTGAGGAGAGGAAACTCAGGCCCACCCAGAGCAGCAGGCCGGAAGAGGAGGAGAAAGGGGATAAAAGCCAGG